CTTCAGCAGCGGTGGGACGCCCTTCCCATCGTCCCTAGCCGGCCCCGGAGGGTCATTTCCTGGGGAGGGCCCGGCGGCCTCAACTGCAGCTCTGCGAGCGAGCCCTTTCATAAAGAAAGCGAGGGGAGCATGGGAGTTGTAGTGCAGCCTGCTTGGGAGGCGCTAGCGTGGGGTACCCTCTCCCCACCAGCTCCCCACATGCCAAAGCTCTGCCTTCTGGGGGTGGTCTTGCAGTCCTTAGAAGAAGAGGTCCTCCTTTCCATTTCCTTTCCAAACTCAAGTCTGCTCCCAGCAAGGCGTCCTCCAGGTCTTAGGACTGCAGCTGGCATGATCCCCAGGATGCTGGCTTGGTAGAATTGGATGTGGAGTCCTGTGCCTCTGGAGAACGTCAGGTTGGGGGAGAATGGTTGGTCTGGAGGTAAAGCCACGATGGTGACCCACCTTGAATAAAGGAATGAAGCAGCGTTCGGTCAGACATCCCTGTGAAAGGGATACACTTAGAGGCATGACAGTCATTCAGATTTTAAATCTTTTTTTGAGGATCTTCTACTTTACCCACTAAAGCCACATGTGACAGCAGCTTTTTAGAGTCTTCCATGTATAGTGTGGTCTGTGGACAGATTTCCTTTCCTGGAGCCCCAGTTCTGCCTCCCATATACGCATACTGGGCCAGTCTGCCTGTCCTTCAAGCTTGGCCACATGCACCCAGTGGAAGCCTTTTCTCTTGGGTCTACGGCTGCTTTGTTCTTTAGCGGTACAGGACAGGTAGCTGTGCAATCTTCTGAAAGATTCTCTGCATGAGGTCATTCCTTTCCTGTGGTTGGTCCTCAATCTAGTTGCACCACACCTACACCAGGAATCTTGCCCTGAGAGCTTGTCTTTCTTCCAGAACAGCCTTTCCCAATGTTGGTGTCCCATATGGTTATAGTCCGTCAGAGCTTATGCTTCATCGGATGGTTCTGAAACTCCCAACTCTGCTCTGCCAATCCAACAATTAGTAGCCATCCATAGCTTCCCACTCATAGAGAACATCTTCTAGAATCCTCCACATTACTTGTAGATTCTTTTCAACCCTTCAATTTGACATCCTTTTTCAGGGATAGTTTTTGCTTCCCTACCCATTTGTCCCATAACATCATCCTGTGAAACAGCAACCTCTTGAAAGGGCAACCAAGAGAGATAGATAACTTTGGGCAACAACACACTCCCATCTCCCCATTATGGCTCCCGTAGCTTCAAGTCAGCATTGTTAATGGCTAGGGATTGTGGCTTCTCTAGTCCCCAAATCCAGAGGTCACCCATTTTCTTGCTTCTGCTCTATGTTGACAGACTTTTCTGTAGGATCGTGTCATGCTCTGTACTTGAATTGTACAGTGATAACTCTTCTCTGCAGATGTTTGTTATGGAGGTCTCTTCCCATAGACCTTCTTTACAGTAATGAGCCTGCTCTCATCTTTTCATCCCTCCCTATTGTGCTTTGCCAAGCTACTCCAATGCCCTCTCTCATGCCATCAGCATTCCCTGTCAATGAGCCTTGGTAATGACTCATTTATTATAATCTTCTGGTTTTTACTATCTCCTCAGCAATTACGTTTCCCAGTCCTTCTCCTTAATGGTTTTACACATCTTATGTTTTTCTCTATGCTTAATTTTCTTCTTGTGTTTAACTTCCTACCTCTTTACTATTTGTCACAGTCCCTTATCCAGGGACTTTTTGGGGGGGGGCTTTATAGTTTTTAAAAAAAGCTTTAAATGATGGAGTTTTCCTTCTTGTGACTAGTGTAACCTTTCTGGAGATTTTTAAGTTCAGACTTCCTTCCCAAGTTGGGGAATCACAGCTGGTTTTCAAACTTTCCCTGTCTGTTTTGTTCTGCATTTATTTTCCTTTTTGGTGCTAAACCAAAAATGGTTTGTTTTTTCTGGCAAGAAAGATATTAAAGAATTGGGATTTTCTGTGGTGATTTAGTTTTTGCAGATTATATACAGTAGTGGGGTTTTTTTTAAGTAATTATCATTAGTTAGACACAATACTTTGCTTTATTCACCTTTTCCAGCCATAAATTTCAATGGTTTCTTAGTGTGAAGTCCTGCACAATTTGCAGAAAATGCTGTGATGCTGTCAGTTTATATAACTATAAAGGGCCTAATAGATATAAAGTTTGGCAGACAAATTGCACATGTCATTGGCTAAGTCTGAGGAACTATGTTTTCACAATGACTTGGAAAGGAAGAGAAAGCACAAGATCAATTAATACCCACCGCTACATGGCTTATGACTTTTGTTTTCAGAGAAGTCACAGATTAATAACCATCATAAAGAATAACTTAGAACGAGAGCCATCTGTGAAAATCTTTTCCCCTCCCCAAAGGAAATTTGCCCACTTGAATTGAAGTTCTGTTATGTAATACTGCATAGCTAACTGCTTAACAACAGCAGAATGTTATTATTTTCCAGGCTCATTTATATATTTTTCACATATTTCTGGTGTGTGTTCTATAAACAACAGTAAGTAGCACTCCTTAAATGTTTAGGAAAAAGGTTGGCAGGGCAGGCTATTTCAGTATTCTCCTCAATTATTACTTACACAAAACAAAAGTTTATAAAAATAATCCAAGGGTGGGCTGTTTTTAAGATTGCTAGGAGAGAAACCAAGGCTGACCAAATCTATCACAAAACAAAATAGAGATCTGGCCCAGCTAATTTCCACTTATCAAAATGCACTGGACAGGACCTGTGTCTTCACTGATCTGGCAACGTTGGCAGTCTGTCTCTTAGCCCAGCCAAGATGAAATACATAAGAGCTTACAAAATTATCAGCTGCTTTCTTTGAAAAACTTTGGTTCTAAAGAGGATCTGGAGTTGTATAGAGCCCATCTCTAGTTATTGACACCTCCTGGACTAGCTTTCTTCTGTGAGCGCTTATTTATTTATATAATACTAAGGCAATCCTTGCCTGTAAAGGCAAAGGTATGGTGCTCCCAGCAATAGAATAAACACCAATCTGTATGTCTGTAAATCTAACCTATGCTGGTTATTTTCTTAATTTACCGTTAAGAATGAATATACCACTTTTTAAGTTCCTGATTTTCTTAGATGGTTATGTTTTGAAATGACAGTCTTAAAGTATAGCTTTTCTTGATCTTGACTGGCAGTTGTCTTGCTTGAGCATATACAGGACTCTTGTTCCCTGCAGATGTCAGCAAAGACAGAGGCAAAATATGAACTTACTACATGCATGCTACAGACAAAGTGCTGTATGTTCCTTGAGATCATGGCCCAATCTTCAGCGCAGAGCTTGTTGTGCTGCTATGCCACTTAGTAATCCTGTTTTATTCTTTCAAACATGGGGCTAAAAATGGCAAGATTTATATTCTGCTTCTCTGTTGAATATTGATTGGCAGATATTTCAGACATATGATTAATTTATTAGAGTAATGCATGAGTTTAGCTTGTCTGTACCAGATTCCTGTGCTTCTTTAATCATAATATGGCAGAATATTACCTTGTACTTTGTGATACCATGCCAAGAACAAAGTAAGGTTTTTTGGCTTTATTCTGAATATTTTTTTTGCAGAGCAGAGATTTTGGAGGTGGAAGAACTTGGGCACAGTTGGTTAAGGACTGGAAAGAAAAGGCTGCTAGGATAGAAGTGTGTCTGTAATAAAATGCTGTTGTTGGATGGATCTCTTGAAAAAATGTGGGTCTGTATAGTATTATTACGAATCCTGCCTATTCCTATTGATGTATGCAGTAAATAATAACATTTTGAATAAATTTTCAGCTTTCTCTATTATTTTATTTCTAGAATACATGCATTAAGTTCTAGCTGAAGTGCTAAAACTGCATTGCACATAAACCAGGTTTCAACAGCCTTGTGTAAGATTACACTACCCAGAATTTCAACTAGCATATGGAAGTTCAGCATTTCTGGAGGGCACTAACCACCTCTTATTGGCACATTAGTTCAAATCTTAGTTCAGCTATAAAGTCCGTAAGTGATTCTAAAACAAATTATCTCAGCATTCTATCCTAGTGGAAAATTTGTAATAAATAATAAATGTGATAATACTGATCTATTTTAGAAAGCTGTTATAAGCTTACTGAGAATGGATGTGATCTTACATAAATACTGAGCACCATGGTTGAAAATAATATTTCTACAATACTGTGTTTTGTCAGAGCTAGAGTAATTACAGAATTGTTATGTTGACATCAAAGAAATTGAAACACTTGAGAAATTTGTGCTGGATTAGTCTCTGTAAAGTTGATGATGGGTTTCAAGTAGCTGCTTGGATTGGACACACTATGGAGTAATTTGTCTGAGTAACTTGCCATGTGACCAGGAATTTCCTAATATTTTCTAGGTACTGTTTAGAAAAGAAAAAAAAAAGCTGGAATACCATACCTACATGTTTACAATTTAAGGTCATAGTCAAGCACGACTCCTGATGTGCGCTTCCATCCATTTTGTGTGGCATGATTACAGAAGTAGTTTGCCATTGCCTTACACCAAAATGATTTCAGGGTCGGAGAACAACAACAACAAAAAAACCCACATTCCAGTTAAAATTCTTATGTAATGTTACCAAATACAACTTGGGTCTTCAAACAATGCTATATTACAATCTCTTACTTTCTTTCTGTCTACCCCAAAACTCAACTTTTCCGTAAAGGCTATGGATTTTTGATTCTTACTGTTGGAACTCTCCCCCCCGCTTTTTTCCCAGTGCTGCTGCTCTTTGTAGAGGGATACATTTGTAGATCGTACTATATAGATGAATAAATAATTAATAAAGACTAGATGGGGTAGTCATTGGAAGGAGACCCCTCTGGGAAGGAAAGACTCAATTGATGCCAGCCAAACAAATGGATCGTGCCATGCCACCTTGGCACTCTGCTGCTGCAGCCAAATGGATGTACATAGCAGTGGTATTAATTTTAAATTGCTGAAAACCTATTCCTCTACTCACCCCCTTCCAAATCAGTACTCAAAGTAGTTTACTATGTAACTGGCAGGAGATCTGGATCTCTGGCTGCTGCTTAAGAAAAATAAATTGAAGCCTCCGTGGGCTTATGGGACTTGTGGCTCAGGATTGCGTGCAAAATATTTCTCTCTCTTTTTTTCCTCCTTTGAGAACAAGCATTGATACAGCACTCATGTATATGCTGAATGCATATTATTTGGAGTTCAGCAATGTAGGTTTCATTTCTAAAAGGTATTACCGTATTGTAGCTTAGCTGATTTTTTTTTTAGAATAATTTCCATCAAAAAATTGAATGATCATTTTGGTACCAAGCAAGCAAGTGCATTCTTGTAAAGTGATTAGGGGCTGAAATGGCTGTGACTCAATTAAATCCTGTAGATATTTGGAGGGTATTTTTGCCGTGATGGGTTAGGAGAACAATCATTACCAGATTTTTTTATTTGTGCTGTTCCATCCCCTCAGATGCAGTACTGTATTAATTTACTCTTTTTTTGGTCTCTGCATTTTTACAAAGAGGCCAGTTACCAGATTTATTAACTTATCTCTTTATTTCTCATATGAAGGAGAATCAAACATAGATTGTGCTCATGATTGTTTCTTTGGACTTGGTTCATTATTTTATTAAACATTTTAAAGAACAACTTTAAGAATTGATTTAAATGTAACAAAATAAAAAGAAATAAATCGATGCTTTTCATGTACCTGCTTTCAAATATACTTTACTATGAACATTTTAACATTTGAATGCTTTTTTTGCATCAGGAAGCGTGAGTGATGAGGCTTACAGTATCTAAATAGGAAAGACAGCACACTTCATATATAGTAGAAGATTCTTTCAGCAAGGACTACTTAGTACAGTGTGAGCTCTGGTCTGGTTTTGCATGAAAAGCCTATCATGATCATATACAATTCTGAATACCAAGATGCAGATCCATTAAGTCAAAATTATGAAAACCAATAATGAAAGCTATTGGAATCAATACTATATTGTAAAAAGGAACCACAGTTGTAAGCCGCATTATATATATTAAGGTCCAAAGCTTATCCATAACCGTTTCAGGGACTGATTATGCTCATGATAACGATAGCCTTTTTTGGCACAAAGGTACTAAATGATGCACTTTGAATGGATAGCACAAAAGGGTGAGGTTTTGCGCCTGGTTTTCTGAGAAGAGCAATAATAACAGTGGTAGAGAGACAAGGACAGTTACAGGTCTGATCTTACATTGCGTCCATGGGCTCTTCTGTGTCAAAGTGCTGGAAACCACAATTACCGCTAGGCATGTTGCAACAGTTGTGTTGCAGTTGTTGCAACAACTGTGTTTCCAATTGTTTAATCTTTACTTTCTAGGTATCAAACACAAGATATGCTTTAAACTGCTGGTGTTTTAGGACAACAGAATAGCTTGAATTATACCATGTTGCGCTGAAGAATAATTATGAAGATATTTATGCTAAGATTTGAGCTTTATTAAAGGATGATTGTTAATCACTATCTTCAGCAAAGCCCCTAAATTCTGGATCTGTTTTTTAAGGTGGAGTTTTCTTGATGTTCGTTTGCACAGGGTTACTTCCTTGATATAAGAAAATGGGAGGGATATTGAATTCAGCTATATGGCTAAAAGATTCTTGAAGAGAAATACCAAATGTTCAGAAAGAACTGTGGAGCAGATTGTTGAAAATCATAGGCTGTGATAATGTACTGATTCTATTTATAGTTCACTTGGGCTCTGTATGTAGTGGGTAGTAGGTAGAAGCAAATGAATGTGGAATAGATATTACCGTATTGTGAAGAACCTTTTAGGGATAATATTAAAACATTGGAATTCCTGCATGGATCTCAATGCAGAGTGCAGTTCTGAGCCTTTCAGAGTAAACTGTTTTACATTTTAATTTGGATTAATGTTCTTTCAGTCTAGGAGCCTACCCAAGGTTGGTCAAAGAACCGGGAAATCAGCTTAGTGCTGCACATCAGGAAGTCAGGTGCCACTTTGGAGAGATGCCACACTGAATTTTCCTAGTTCTGAAGGGAGGAATGCCCCAGCCAGAGTATGTGATAACACAGAAGTTTCGGAGGAATGTCTAGTAGGAAGACTGAGGAATATCTAGGTGTTGGCTTTGATGTGAAGTGTTGTGCACAACTGGTGATACTTTCTTACTGCTGGTCTGGCCATTTTTTGTCATCTCTAACCCTGTGGGTAATGGAAGGTAGAATATAGCACATAAGCTGCTACTTCGCATCGCTTGCTAAATAATCCTTTTTTTTTTAAAACCTATTTTTTGTAAATTGATTGCTTGGGCTAGTGTCTTATCTTAAGCACTGAAATATACATATATCCACTCTAAAGCAGTATTGACTAATGTGCTGGCTGGGGAATTCTGGGAGTTCAAGTCTACAGATCTTAAAGTTGCTGAGGTTGAGAAACACTGCTCTAAAGTATTCTATTCTTTTTTAGATTGCAAAAATATATTTGGACAGCATCTAGGTTGATGAATAAATGCAGTTCAGAAATGATAAAATGTTCCTTTTTGAATAGAGCGAAAATGTTATGGAAACATTCTCCTGAATTTACAAGACTATTCTAATATACATTAGTCATGTGAGTTGCATCTCAACTGCTTTGTTACAAGGAGAAATAATAATGGGATGCCAGAGTTTTGATTCTTATCATCTTCAGATCTTTCAGCTCCATGTGTGTCTCCAAAAGTAGAAAATCAGACTGCTTTATCTGTACTGTTGTCAAGAAAACTAAATTTGTTCATATAGGCTTCAGAGATAAAGTACAGTTCAAGGGAGCCTTATTTCTTGTTTCTTACTGATAGCTTTTGTAAGCATATCTCCGTGGCCTATTGTAAATTACCTTTTAAAAGAAGAAGAAGTGTTTAGCAATGGAGATGTGTCCTCTTTTTTAATTTTTACTTTTTTATATTACCTATCCTGGCTCTGTAAGTCACAATTATAGAAAGAAGCTGCAAGTAATCTTATTCAGGGTTTGAACATTGTCAGTTGAAATAGGGAATATTTCTGACTTGCCTTAGAGGGGGAGCAGCCTTGATATAGTAATACTGTAGCTGCACTTTAAATGCAGGCCACATAGTAGGAGAGCTAGTGTGACGAACTTGTGATGAAAGCCATAAGAGAATCACTTCTTTCCTTGTCACAACTGGGCACACGCCTGCAAAAGTCTCTGTGTAATGAATAGTTCATTCCTAAGGGATCCCTTTATAGCAGAGCAAATAGGGACGATTAGCACAGTAGCTCATAGGTTTGGCAGTGAGAAAGCTGACCGAGATTTCCAAATTCTCCTAGTAGAATTTAGAAAATTCCGTATTTAGATGTTTCCCAATAACTTACATGCAAAGATGGGGTCAAAACAGAAAAAAATGAAGTAAAAACTGCCTATTTAAAGAGTGTTATTCAAGATTTTACAGGATTTTGAAATAGATTGTTAATGTGGTGTTTCTTTGCTAGCACGTATAGGATTGGTGTTCTTGTCTTCAGTTCTACTGATAAAGAACCTTTTGTATAGTGATGATTACAGCTAGTTCAATGCTTCCCTTCTCTTCAACTGCTAAACATTTCCCATTGTTGGGTGACAGAGATTTCTGTGATGGAAGAATGGGGGCCCATTTTCTAATGCTGACTTCTTCATGGTTACGTACAGCATGTTATAGGTCAAGGATGAAGAACTTTTGGTCTATGAGGATTTGA